TGATTTTAGAAAGAAAAATTATGTTTCAGTGGAAACTATAATACACACTTGTGAATATTAGATTCCAGTGCTATTAATTTTCCTTGAAGTTTTTATTTACCTAAAAACTGGACTAGACCTTAAATTCTTCTAATTTCCTCAAATATTTGGCTACAACTCTCCAAACGTTTCCAATGTTTCTCCCACTTTTGACTTGGAATCATTAAGAACTAAAGCTGCCTTTTTTTCCCCATAAGCCCTACAAATTGAAGCTGAACAACTTGATATAAACTTGAGAGAGAGATGGCCACGACAGCTCGCGTTTAAACAATCTTTGTGCCTGTTGCTAAGCCGTTCAGAAAGTTCACCTGAACATCCACGACATCATCAAAGACATTTCAAACTACAAAAGATGGTTCAACCTTGACATCTATAAATCTTCTTGACTGGCTGCCCCCTAGGCTCAGAAACTGGTCTATAATTTGCTCCAACCGTTAAGCATTGTTTTTCTTTGTTTCCGTAGACATGCCTCTTATTAAATACCTGATTGCTTGGACTGTAGACCTAACTTCGGGAGCCCACCTGCATCACTGCCTCCTGAACTGAGACACAGCTGTTTAACTAAACTAACCTATTTTCAAGGCCAAATGATCAAAAAAAAAAAGACCAAATGATTAATTCAATGAAATAATGGAAAAATTTACCAGGTCGGAGCCGGCCCCGTGACATAGTGGTTAAGTGCGCGCTCCGCTGCTGGCGGCCCAGGTTTGGATCCCGGGCGCGCACCAATGCACCCCTTGTCGGGCCATGCTGCGGCGGCGTCCCGAATAAAGTGGAGGAAAATGGGCATATATGTCAGCTCAGAGCCGGTCTTCCTCAGCAAAAAGAGGAGGATTGGCATGGATGTTAGCTCAGAGCCGGTCTTCCTCACAAAACATAAAAAAATCTACCATCTCAATTTTTAATATGTGAAACTTCTAGGGAAGTTTCAGAGGAGGGAACTGTTGGGACCCAAGGCAGGCCACCCCAAAATATCCCACTATAGCATAATAATTATTTTGAATTAACGTTACTAGTGAAGCAAAGAGGGCTTTCTTCTTTCTTGTGAGGAAGATCGGCCCTGGGCTAACATCCGTGCCCATCTTCCTCCACTTTATATGGGACGCCGCCACAGCACGGCCCGACAAGCAGTGCGTTGGTGTGCGCCCGGGATCCGAACTCCGGCCGCCAGCAGCGGAGCGCGCGCACTTAACCGCTACACCACCAGGCCGGCCCCCAGAGGGCATTCTGACCCTCCTGTCTCTGTTCTCCCTGAAAGCAGGAAATAAATCTCCCATGTGAAAGGTGCTCTCCATGCATCCTTCCCACCAGAGCTAGGGAATTCAGGGCCAAGAAACCTGCATAAACAAACCTTGTTAATTTACTACCTCAAGCCTAAACTCAGCTTAAATTCCTCACAAATTACGTACCCCAAACCTAAGTTTGTCAATTCTTCACAAATTTATTGTTTCTTTGTGTAAGAGATATGTATACTGCCTGCTTTGTTCACTCTCCAAGCATCATTTCTTTATGGTCTCCAATACATATGTATTATTATTTTTTATAATTTTATTTATTTTTCCCCCAAAGCCCCAGTAGATAGTTGTATGTCATAGCTGCACATCCTTCTAGTTGCTGTATGTGGGACGCAGCCTCAGCATGGCTGGAGAAGCAGTGCATCGGTGCGCGCCCGGGATCCGAACCCAGGCCGCCAGCAGCGGGGCGCGCACACTTAACCGCTAAGCCACGGGCCGGCCCCTCCAATACGTATGTATTAAAATGGGTTTTTCTCCTGTTAATATAGCCTTGTGTCAATTTTACTATTAGTCCAGCCAGAAGAACACAAGAAGGGAAGAAAGGGGATTTTCCTCCGCCCTGACAAATTCTGTACCCATCCATCAGGCATGAAGGTGGAATAAAGACATTTTCATGCATGTCAGATTTTTAAAAATTTACATCCCTTGTCCCCTGTCTTCGAAAGCTACTATGGAATATGCTCCACCAAAACAAGGGAGTAAACCAAGAAACAGGAAGATATGGGTCCAAGAGACAAGAGTGCTGACAGGGAGTTCCATTTGGGGTAGTTAGAAGGCTCTGGACAGATTCTTCAGGAAGATGAAAATGATAAAACACCTGTAGAGTCCAAAGATTTTTTTTTTTTAATTTTTCAGTAGTCATTTTTTCCTAAATGAGTGTTATATACATCATGGTACAAATCATAATAAAGAAATGCATTTATATATATTAATATTTCCTGTTACTGAATATTCCATTAAACATAACCATGACTTAATTATAAATTATAATGGGGCTAAGTAAAATATTAGGCTCTCATAAAAAATTAATTTATTAGCATATTGTCCAGACCTCACGAAGCATGTTGAGTCCACAGATCCTTAAGAAGAGCTTTAGAGACGTGGTAAAAAGTTTGGGGCTAAATCAGTAACAAATTTATTGAAAATTAAGCAAATGAAAAAAACCTCCAGGGAAAATAATCAGCTGTGCGGGAGATGAAGTTAGCTTTCCCCTAGTCTCATCTGTGAACTGCAGTTACAGGGGTGTCATGGTGCCAACGCTGAGAACTGAGCCAACTGAGATTATCGTTTAACGGCTGCGAGTGTGGTTGCGACAGGGAAGCAAAGAGCTCAATTCTCACCTTCTCTAGTGGGAAATCAAGAGTATGACTAGAATTGACAAGCTGAGAAGTAGTAATACAAGCATGTTATTTAGAAGCATGAAGATAAATACCGAAATAATCAGCTAAAAGAGGAACATGGGGCTGCCTCCGGGGAGAGGAAAGGTGGGTACAGGAGGACGGCCGTTCTAACACCTAGAACTATCTGAATCCTTAAACTGGGGGCAGGGCTAATTTTGATAAATAACGTCCAAACTCTAGAAAGGATTGATTTTATTCTCCATGCCACAAACCGGGCCTGTTGGTGGCCCCTCTCCAGTTTCTGGGGCACTGGGGGACTCAGGCCGTGTCCTCACCAAACACCCTGCTTCTGCTTCAGTCCCTCAGTCTGTCCACATCACGTCCACCCAGATGCGGGGTTCAGGGCTAGTCCTTGATGTGCACCCCCTTCAAGACCTGTACATTGTACAGGAGACTTCACTAAACATTCGGGAAGTGGAGGGTCCAGGCCAGGCATCCTTGTTTGCCAAATGGCCCCAGCTGTTCCTGCAACTTGGCCCTCCGCTCTCCTTCTGCTTCTGCCGAGAGGCCAGCCTGATTTTCACCAGCTCAGTGAGCGCTGCAGTGACGTATGCTTTGCAATGAAGCCTGAAACAGGTAAGGACCATTGCTCCCATTTTACAGATGGGGCAACCAAGTCAGGAGTCGTGAGTGGCTCAAGTCAGAGCTAAGGGGAGGCAGAGGTGAGATTCACACCTAGGTCCAGAGCCCCCAGGGCTGGAACCCCCCTTCCCTGCCAGCAGCATTCCAAGATCACCCTCGGGATGGACCTTCCTGGAGCTTGGTCAGTAAGACGGCTGTGGCGGGGAGGGACCCCGAGAGTGGAGCCCAGGGTCTTCGGGCTGAGCTACGGAGAAGGCAGGCCAGGATAAGTGGAGGGGCTCGGCTCTCAGGCCGGCTGTGTGTCCTCCACCACCTGCTCTCTAGCTGTGTGGCCCTGGGCCTGTCACCTAACCTTCCAGTGCAGAGTTAGTAACTTCCTCATAGGTGGCTGTGAAGGTTAAAGGAATTAACTCGTGGTGAGTCATCCCTCCTTAACCGGCCATTGTGTCTTCCTCTGACTAATGCTCTGCCCCGCAATCCTGACTCACCTGGCCTCTCTGGGAGCAGGCCAATGCCTACTCCCAAGCCTGGGTTTAAGACAGTCCCGGGGTTAGGGGGTTGGGTCAGACCTGCTCACTGGGGTTAAGTGTCAGGTGCTCTGAGAGTCCAACAAGTTTATGGGGTTGGGGGAGGGCTCCATGCAGCCCAGAGAGGGTGACCGGCTGACCCCAGGGCCACTCAAGCAGTTGGCTGCAGAGCTAGCAGCTTGCTCCCCAGCCCCCTGACTGCAGTCCCAGCCCCTGCTGAGTTGGGTCCAAGGTAGCTGACAGGGTAGGGGGCAGGGTGTTGTCTGGCAGGTGTTCTAGCACCACCCCCAGGCTGGGGCCACTCCCTTGTCCCCCTCCCTGACCATAAGCCTCCCACGTTAACCCAACCATCCTCTGGCTATGCCTCTGCCCAGGAGCAAGGGGTTGGGGAACGGACCTGCATGGCCCCTTCCCGCAGATCCAGAGAAAGGAGTGGGCTAGAGGCCCCCTCCCCCAATCTCTACCCTGTTGTGCTGGCTCCTCTCCCATCACCAGAGCCTCAGTCCTGGTGGTCAGGAGGGGGAGGCACCTGGGGCAAGGGCTGGAGGTTCAGCACCTTGGAGAGGGGACGGTCCTGCACTCAGAGTCCTGGTGTGGCCACCCACACCTGCTTCTCAACCTCTTAACACTTGAAGGAAGCTTCTAGGAATTTACCAGAGGGCACCCATGAGAGGGGCAGGCAGGATTTGAACTCATGTCTGAATCCTGAGCCAAGTCAGCGCACCTGATGTGCTTCAACAGGCCCAAGTAATGGACCCCAACCATGCCCCAACCAGCCACCCCCGGATGGGACCCAACAATCCTGAGTGACCCACATTCTTCTGAGAACGCTGCGGGGCAGCCCCAGAACAAGCAAAGCCCCTGAGTGGCCCCACCATGATCTTGTCAACCCCACAGCCCTGGCCCCATGGGTCTGTCACCACTGGCCTTCAGGGACCTTGGTGAAGGAACAACTAAGGCAGCTTCTCAGGACAGATTTGGGTCCAGTTTGATGCCTGCTGTGTTCCTTGGTGCCAGAGGTCAAGGGCCCGGCCTGCTATTCACAGCCTTGCGGAGGCAGACACTCAGAGGCCAGACAGCGAGGCCGGCTCAGAGCGGGCCCAATACCTGCTGACGGGGCCCCTGCCTGGGCCCATTCAAGGTCCGGGGACACACGATTCAGAACTTAGTTATAAATACACGTGTTTGGTGAGTGAGGGGCGACAGGTGGAGACGGAGCTGTACAGCTGGTATAGGCTGGAGGCTGAACGCCACACAGAGAGAGGGAGACAGACAGTCCACCCAGCAGGGCAGGCCAGGCAGCACTCTGGGGCCTGTAACACTTGGTTGGTGGCGCGCCGGCGGGGGTCTTGTCCAGGGCTGGTGGGGCCCAGGTGCCCTGGAGGCTCCCGGCCCGAGGTCCTGGGCGGCGTCGGCAGCGGCACCTGGGCTCAGCTCACATCGTTCAGGGCCTGGGGGGACATGAGGCCTTGTCAGGAGGATGCCAGGTCGTGTGGGGGCCGAGGTGGCCCCTCAGGGAGTCCTGGGTCCCCGGCCCCGCCCCGCAGGTGGCTCACCTTGCGGGCAAACTCAGGCAGGACAAAGGCTGCCTGGTGCACGTCGGAGTTGTAGTATTTCAGCTGCATCTGTTCCACCTGCTTCTGCGTCAGCTGCTGCACGGGCTCCCGGAAGTTGGTGCTCTGGGCACAGGGGCAGGGGGCATCAGGGGAGTGCTCTCTGTGCCCATCTGCCCCCCTCCCAGCCCTGGGACAGCCAGGGGCTCACGGGATTTTTGCTGCACAGCATGAAGCCGATCTGGCCGCTGGGGTAGGTGGGGATGGTGCAGTACGCGTAGTCCACCACGGGGAAGAGCGACTTGCAGAACTGCCGCATCTCCTTGATGAGGTCCAGGTGCAGCCACTGACACTCGCCTGGGGCGGGTCGGCAGCATCAGCACCGGGCAGGCTGGCACTGCCCCACCCTGCCCCGGCCCAGCCTCTCCCAACTGCTCGAGGCTCGCTCACCCTGGCAGCAGAGGATGCCGTCCTCCTTGAGGGCCGTCCTCATGAGCTGGTAATAGGACTCCTTGAAGAGACTCTCAGCAGGGCCTGCGGGGAGGGAGGGATGAGGGCTAAGGAACACCCTCTGGCCGAGACCTTCTGAGCCTGGCACTGGAGGGGGGGGGCACTGTCACCCCCACCACAAGACCCACACAGTTGCTAAGGGGCAGAGACGGGATTTGAACCCAGGTCTGTGGAATTCAGAAACCAACCATGAAGAGGGTGCTTCTGACCCACTGCCCCAGTACCTGAGGGGGTTCCACATTTTACCCCATTGCTGGGGCATTTTCATTGGCACTGTATTAGGGGAATCTCAACCCTGGGTTAACACTAGATCCCACTCCTGCCCTATGCTGGTCTGTCAAGAGCAGAAAGGTGGCTGAAGAGGAAAGTGGGGCCTCAGTGGGCCAAGGCCAGAGCCCCACTCTCCTCCAGGTCCCCAACCAATTTGTGAACTTTGTGCGGTTGCCTGGTCCCCCTGCTCTGCTGAGCCAGGTTTGAGGGGGAAAAGTGCACCTGAGAAGAGAAAGTGCAGCTCCAATTCTGGGGCCCCCGGTCCTCAGAGGAGGAGGCTGGTCTCTGCACTGATGGCTGCCAGAGGGCCCTGGGCCCATCCTTTGCTTACCCATGGGGTCTGAGGAGTCAGTGATGATGACATCAAAGGCGTCCTGGTTCTGTTTCATGAACTCAAAACCGTCGCCCACATGTAGGGTCAGCTTTGAACTGGAGTAGCCAACGGCCATACCCGGCAGGAACTTCTTAGAGACTTGAATGACATCCTGGGTGGGGACAGGAGGGACCAGCCTGGGCCAGGGGGGCTAGGGGCACTGGAGCCAGGCGGAGTGGAAGGGGACTCCCGGCAGTCCCTCTCATAGCTTGGTCACCTTGGGCAAGCCATTCACTTTGTGGGACCCCGGTTTCCACATCTGTAAGATGGGGAACACCCTGGTACCTCCCCTTCCCACAGCTCCTCGTGGACAGATGGCTCCTGCCTGCTGCTCGGCCTGCATCTCCACCGTCCCAGGTCCATCCCCCCAGCCCAGCTGCCCCATCCGAGTGGCTTTCTTGCTATTTCAGAGGGTGGTAGTAATTCCAGCCTCCACCACGAGAACCTTTGCCGGCCTCCACGTGGGCAGCTGCTTGTTCAGGCCTCAGCTCAAACCCACCTCCTCAAGGCCTGCCCTGACCCGCCTCCACTCTCCCCCTGCCTTCTCTCATCCCCTGGCCCATGATGCCTTTATCAGATCACTCTCGGATGTCTCCTCCTAACTAGAACATCAGCTCCCAAGGTGAATGCTCTGTCCACTCACCACTGTACCCCAGCACCCAGAGCAATGGCTGCGCATGGTTGACGCGCAGCAAGAGCGTGTATAATGGGCAGATGCTCTAGTGGTTGGAATATCTCTGGGCCTTGTTTCAAACTTGAATTAAAGACCAGCTCTCAGTCTTACTAAGAACTGACATCATGGTACACCTACTGTGTGCCAGGCCCTCTACTATCTGGCTTTCCTAATGGATCCTCCCAACATGTTTTTCAGATGAAGATACAGGCCTAGAAATATTAAATGACTTGCCCAAGGCCCACAGCCGACTCAGGGCAGAACAGGCACTGGAACCCAAATCCCGGCCCTGCTCTGAGGTGAGCACTCACCTCGTCAATCTCACACTGGACCACAGACTCCAGGGAGGGATGCTTCACCACCTCCCGCAGGACGCCCCCGTCCCCGCCCCCGATGATCAGCACCTGGGAGGGGGAGGAACAGTCAGGAGCAGGGCCCAGCCTGCACTGGGCAGATGCACTCACACAGAACCATCTGGAACAAGGGTAGGCGTCTCTGATCCACAGGCCTCAGTACTTCATTTTCTACTCTCAGAAACACTTTCCTGCCTCAGGAACTTGGCACCAGGTGTCCCCTTTTCCTGGAAAAGCCTCCAGGACTGCTCCTTCTTAAGCTTCAGGCCTCAGCCGGAACTGTTTGCTCCTCAAAGACCGTCAGTCCCTTTGGCCCCCCCCACTCTCCTTGTGCTTGCTAGCACTTTCTCTGACAACTGTTTAGGAAGCACCTGGGCTGAGCGCTGGGCACATCTGGGCCCTCCAGCACTGTTCTGCAGGACCCTGAGAGCTGGGTTTCCTATCACTGGGCTCAGGGGGCATCCGAGGGGAGCGGGATACCTTGCGGGGGTTGGGGTGGCTGCAGAGGGGCAGGTTGGCTATCATCTCCTGGTAGGAGAACTCATCCCTCTCTGTGCACTGGATGACGCCGTCCAACACCAGCACGTTACCGTAGGTCTTACTGCGGGCAGGAGTGATAATCAGGGAACTGGGTCCCCTGGGGTTGGGGCACCGTGCCCCCAGCCGCCCTGGGTGAGAAGAATCTCGCGCAACCTGCCCAGGGGTTCCAGGGGTGAGTACTGGGGGTGACCAGTGGCGAGGATCAGCAGGCAGGCCCGCTGGCTGGGGGTTGGGGTTGGACTCGGGGTCCCGGCTCTGACGTGTCCCGGACTGACACGTGGAGCTGGGCGCGTAGGGTCGGCGCCGACTCCGGTTCCCTCCCCGCCGAAGAGGACCGCCCGAAACGTCGGCCCCCAGCGCAGAGAGACGGGATGCAGGGTGGGGAGGGGACCCAGGGAGGTGACAGGCCTAGTTCATGAGAAGTTCCGACAGTTTTGCAGGGGGAGGGGCGGGCAGAGACGACCGGGGCCGTCCGGAGGTAAAGGGCGCAAGACAGGGGTCCGGCAGGAAGAGGGTGGTCTGGGCCGGATCAGGGCAGGAGTCGCGGCCGGCTCGCGCGCGGGTGGGCAGCGGGCGGTCTGACCTGAGAGCCGTGGCAGGGGCGCGGGGCGCGGGGCGGGGGCCGGGCAGCAGTGGTACCTGCGGAAGACAAGGATATCCTGGTACCGCGAGCGCTGGTGGTGGAGCAGCTGCTCCACCTGCAGGGACAGGGCCTGGCCGGGCCACAGGCTGCACGTCTCGCGGAACCAGCCCTCGCGGATGGCGGCAGGGCCGGGGGCGGCGGGGCCGTCGGGGCCGGGC